TTTTTTGTGCTTGATTTGGGGACTTAAACAGTTATGTGATCAGTAGGTGGAGTACAATTGTGTGGGTGATTTGTGACTGGTTTTTAATTTTTCATATTTTTGCAGTTGAGATTAAGGCGGTGTGGTTGGCTGAATGCACCTCCTCTTGTCTGTGCTCATGGTGGTGACTCAACCAATGCCTTCCCTAACACGGTGGGCATCCCCTTTATTTTAATTTTGTTCATCCTATGTTCTGTGCTGATGCTTAAGGCCTTAACCCCTGAACAGAACATTATTCATTTGATTTTTCTTTGGTTCCAAACGTCAAATTATTTCTTAAAGAACTTCAGCAATGACAAATGATTGGACTTGGCTCTGTTTCAACTTATTGGAGTCTGTTGGGTGGTGAAGTAATTAAGTGATTTACATCAGTAGAAAATTGAGAATTTTTTACATTAGGAGTGAGGTTCAGTTCATGGTAATTGGTTGCAAACTAGTTGAATTGAGTATCTATGGTTGCCAATCATCTTAATACATGGAAACGTTATTTTTTGGACCATGGCTTTGATAGAAATATATGTAAATTTTCTCTAACTTCTTTTTTTTACTCCCTTTTAACCGCAGATGGATGCTTATCATTTTGCTCTTCATTCTCAAGTAGACTGCATTGAGATTGATGTTTCTCGTTCTTCAGATAGAGTTTTATTTGCTCTCCATGACAGGTATATTTAGACTTCTGTTTCTAGAAAATCTCAATACTATCTTCCAGCTGTTTAACTAAATTAATACTTTTTACTCATACATCATATATTTTTTCTTTGGCTCACTACTTTACTATTTCTTACAAAATTTACTTTTTACCTTCTGAAAATTAAGGTTTACTAGGTTTAGGCTTGGGTTGTTTCTTACAAAATTGAGCTTGAACTGAGCTGGAACATCATGTTCGAACTTTGTTGCTAAATATTTTTTAATTTCAAGCTTATTTAAGCTCAGCTCTGTTTTATAACTAACTCCATCTTAGGCTTGCTTATTCAAGTTTGTTCATTTGAAGTCATTTTTTTGGCTGATGGTTTTGTGATAGTTGTTTAATTTGTTCTCCAATTTCTTTGGACCTGTGGTAAATGGTTAGCTTTACACTTTGCAAATGATTACAGAATTGTCAATCAACATTTTGTATTTGTTGCAGTTCTTCTGCCTGCACTAAAAAACTCCTTAGTGGATCTAAGGATGATGCTGTTAAGAAAACATACAATGGTAAATGAGAT